ATTCAATCTAAATCCTTTAGAGCAAGAGAAATGCATGGTCCATATTTGTCATCTCGTACCACTTGTCCACAGAAACATCCAAGCAGAAAAGCATCAGGGAGACAAATATTTCTGTTTTCTGAGCAATAAAGAATGCAAATTATTAGCAAAATTATCAGTTTTCCTCAATGCCTCAATAATTCTCAGTGGAAATAACATGCTCAGGAACATGGATATTCCCAAGATCAACTTCCATGGCCCAAAAGGCAGGGATGTCTCTGCTGGATCCACAGTGCTGGAGCCGAAATATTTGCTCAATATTTTCTACATCAGGGAGTCAGTATGTCCCAAAAGAAATGATTAGTTCAGTAGCTATTAGGTGTGGAAAAACACCATCAGGGGCTGTTTCTTTGCCATGGAAGCCTTGACACTGACATCCTCATCAGCAGGGGACCTTCTGTATCTGAAATCATGTCCATTGCAGCAGTTACAGGATTTTGATTGCGTGATTCCAGAGCTTGGATATTAGGAATAATTTCTTCTCCCAAGAATGGTGCTGCACTGACATAAGTTGCCCAGGGGGTGTTGGAGTCCACATCCCCTGGAGGTGTTCAGGAGCCATGGAGATCTGGCACGTGGGGACACAGTGGGCATGGTGGGGTTGGTTGGGGTTGGGCTTGGGGATCATGGAGGTCTTATCCAGCCTTTGTGATTGTGTGATTCCACGGTTTTCCCTCTCTGTGATGGACAATAGCTCCTTTGTGGATTTAAATGTTCTACTCCTCTGCCCAGCCCATGTGAATGACTTGGAGATGGCCAAAGCCTTAGGAAGGAGAACAAGTGAAATTCCAAGTGCCTTCACTTCACTACCCAAGAATAGATCGTCTGGAGCTGGTGGGCAAAACCAAACCAAAGCTTAAATAAAGGCTCATGCAAAGGTGGTATTTCAGGAGGCAATGTTGGCAGGAAAAGAAGGGAGATCAGGATCTAGCAAGTCCCACACCGTGGAGGCAAGCAGCAGCTCCCAAAGTCCAAAGGACTCATTCATCACCCGAGCACAGAGCTAAACTCTGACACTCAGTACCACGCAGTTATTAACAAGGCTAGAAATAAAAACTAGCGATTGCAGTTGGAGAGAATGCCAGCAGAAGGACCACTAATTACTTTTCCTTCTTTCTTCGTCTCTTTCCCCAAGAACCTGCTGCTGGGCACTGTCAGATGCAGGCCGTGGTGAAGTATCTCCCTAATTCTCTGTGTCCTTCTGCTTATCCCTTTTCAGAAGAAAGGCTGCAAATGCCACTAAGGAACATGACGGATGCTGTGATCTCAAGGAAATGAACCACTCCTTGATTGCTTGCTTAGCTGAGCAATTTGCAAAGTGATAGACAGCAATTACACCACACAGTGTCAATTTGTCTCTTCATTTTTCCCTCTCTACGTTTCCTCTTCTTGATTGAATAATCACTGACAATAATCACAAGCAGCTGTGGGAAGGAAGTGCATCCATCAGCCTTAATGTCAGCAGGAACAAGAGCAGATTCCTCTGCATTCACCACAACTCTGCATCTTCTGAGGAATTCACATTTACCTTAGAACAGTGCCAATATTCTATTTCCATTACCCACTCCTATCCCAGTTTATAATCTGAAAAAACAGATTGTCAGAGGAAAACACACAACTACAAAAACAAAGAAGAAAAAAAAAAAAAAAGGTTGCTCCATCTACTACTCTGTATGAATAATTGTGAAATTATGTTTTAATTCTCCTGATACTGTTTAAACTGAAAGAAGTTAAGGCTACAGAAAATCAGCACCAGGAAGAGGGTTTACTCATCATGTAAAGAGGACAGAGCTGTCAGGAAGGTGTGAAGCAGGCGAATCCTATGGATTGCAGAGGCTTTTCATTACATGTCTGTGTACAGCTTGTTACTTCTAGGTAATAACTTACCTGTGTCCATGTATATTGTTAAGATACCAAAATACTAAATCACATCTCTTCTAGAATCTATGTCATACGACCCTGCATATACTTTTGTGTGTCTGTATACACACATGATGCTAGGTCTGTATTCTGTAGTGCTAAGCTTTGTGAACTGATTTTGCCCAGCTGAGCTTCCATCCCACTCTGTTCAGAGACACAGAACAGCAAAACACGAGCCTGAAGGCACAAAAAGTGGCTCAGACTTTCCCATAAAACTCTTAAAGTGGTTTATTCAATAGAATCAATCATCTTTCAAACACAGTGATACAGACAAAAGAAAGTACCCTGATTACTGCTTTAGTTATGGCTTACATCAATTGATAGGCTTCCTATTACAACCATATTACAGCTACAGAAAGAAGCAAGAATTACAGGGTGGCAGTCGGAAAAAAAAGAAAGGTGAGTCAACGGGCACAATGACATTAACATCAGCAAGAAATTGCCATGGCTCCACTGGGGTTTGTCCACCCCCGCTGTCACCACCGTACAGAAATGACAATTATGGAACAAGATTTATTTTTGCATCAGCTTGAGCTCCCTCAGCGTGAAGATGTCATTTTGATCCAGCATTTCTGGGCAATTTCTGAGCATCTCCATTAGCTGTAGGGAGCACAGAGTGCCCTGGTCCATCTTAACATGTACAGTTTTAGGTAGAACGCTTCGAGAACCAGCCAACACTTTGATTTTGTTGTCTTAGTTTGTTGCCATTTTACATGCTAACATATTGTACAGTGGTTGGTACAGTTAAAAACACGCAGCAGCTCACCCAAAGGTCAAACACCGAGAACGTTTATGGCTTCTAAAGGGAAAGTCATAGAATCATAGAATCTTCATAATTCAGAAAGACCTCTAAGATCATCTAGTCCAACTGTAAGTCAGACATATCGGCAACATATTTACAGCTTTCAATCCTTGAAATGCTGAGGCATATTAATCTTTATGTAGGCTTGCCACTATGGCCCAGACCCCATTGCTGATGTTTCTCATGCTCAGGCGTTAGGGAACATGAGAGATGCTTAAGCCTGGGATTCAGGCTCCCTCACCCCAACACATACGTTTGGATTTTCCTTAAGATTCATTACAAAAGCACTTGAGTACAGTTGCCTACGATTTGGGATACCATGCAAACAACACAGCAGCCTCACCCACATTAGATGGGATGACACTAAGACATAAAGTTGTAACAGCACGTGGGGGCAGGTTGGAGATGAGGGCTATGTGCTTGACTGACAAGCATTGGACCCGTTGTCTTCCTGCTGAAGCCAAATGCACACTTCGTACTGGCGTTACTGGGAATCCAGCCTCCAACATGTTTGTATTACTGTAGAATTACATGCTGGCATTTCAAAGAAAGCAGAACAACCCCCCCTTCTCTCACAGCACGTGATACACATACACACACACAGCAGGGTTGATGTGAGCAGGGCTCACTGTGGTTTGGTTCATTTACACAACCGTGATGAAATGTTTTGCATAGATGAATTGGAAAGGATGGAAAGTGCAGGAATCTGGAAGGGAGAGTGACAGTCACGGCACTTCAGCTTCCAGATTAAGTTTGTTCTTTACACAAACCATTAAAAACACAGTGTTGCTACTGCACATTATCTACAATATATTAAAAACGTATCTGAAAACAAGTAAGAAACAAGGGCTGCTCCTTCTGCCCACAGCCTGCAGGCTGGCTCTGATGTCCTCCAAACTTCCCATGAATTTCACTGGATTTTGGAAAAGGCCCTCAACGTAAGTCCTGACTCCTTTATTCCTTGGCTCAGTTCAGAAATTCCCAAAAAGAAATTTAGAGATTGCTGAATTTTGACAGCATTCCCTGTATGTGTGAAAGCTCCAAACCTCACTGCATGCTTGGGTACAAACCAGACAGGAGGATCCCTTCCAAACTCTCTTCTCACTGTCCAACCTTCTGCTCTGTAAAATTACGGCTTTGCTGACCAACCACCAGGGCCCAAAAGATTTAAAAGGATGGATTCCCTCTCATTTCACATCTCTGTGCTTTATCACCAATCAGACTGCTCTCTCCTGCCACACCAAAATGCAAAGGCCACCTGCCCACAGAGCTCCATCACCACAAGAATTTCTGCATTCAGCAACATCTCCATTAATTCATCAAACCCCGCAGAAAATAATTCTATCCTTGGAAAAATATCTCTTTTCTTAGAGTTATTTGCCTCCATCCAACCAACTGTGGAGTTGTGGTTGCAGTCTCTCAGATTCCCTCTCTAAGGCTTTTCCTGGTGACAATGGACCTGCTGGAGCCAAAGAAGCCACCATGCCATGGCACCCCATTCACAGCACATGAGCTGGCTTTGAGCATTTTGTCTCTACCACAGGAAATACGCTAAAACATTATTATAAATCTATCACTATTTAATCCATTCTGTCCATAGATCAAGAGCAAGCAGCTAAAGTATTTTGATTAAGTCTTCTTTTCCATGTGATGACGGCACTGGTGGCCCATAAGCTCCCCTATTGACCTGTCGAAGAGGAGCAGGCCTAGCCACGTTTTTCTGACTGAATTTGCACTGCCAATGTATGAAGATCTTAGGAACTTCTGAAGAGATTCCCATAAATACTTCTAGAAGCTGGTGATTAATCCCCAGTATTGTAATTTTCTCTCTCCCTGCCTCAGATTTCATATTCTCAGCAAGACAGCTGGGCTTAACATCTGAGCTCAGAATGAGAGCTGACGGCTTTTATTCATGGACCTCTGCATGGCTGAGACCTCCAGGCACCATCCCTATCCTCAGACCCCACTCCTGCAGGACAGCAGCAGGAATGTGGTTTTCCAGTGCCCAATGCAAAGAAGGCCAAGAACAACCTGAAAGCTTCCAAATTTCTGACAAAAATGCTGTCACTTTTCAATTATTTTTGAGCAACACCCAAAAAACAGATCAGAAAGCAAATGTTGCAGTATGCACTTCCTCTCAAGGACTTTTATATATACATTTCTTTAAGAACCTTTCTAGCTTGCAAATCACTCCCTAAATCTCATCTAATAAAGAATCATAGAATCATGAAGGTTGGAAAAGACCTTCAGGATCATCTAGTCCAACATCCACCTACTACCAACACCACCACTTCCCCACTAGATCATGTACTTCAGTACCACATATAAACAATTTTTTAACACCTTCAGGGACAGTGACTCCATCACGTCCCTGGGCAGCCCATTCCAGAACATGACAACTCTTAAGGAGAGGAAATTTTTGTTAATATCCAAACCTGAACATCCCTTAGCACAACTGGAGGCCATTCCCTTCAGACCTACCACTAAACATCGCCAATATGTAAACCCTATGTACACCTCCACACAGACCGCTGGGTTTGTTTCTGCAGTACCTGTACAAATAAAATACCTATCAGCTGGAATGGGAGTTCTTTCCAGATGAAAGTTGCAGGACTGGGCCTTTGGTGCATATGTGCAAGTACCCTGTACATGCATTTTAAAATCATTAAAAAAATATAGTAGCTATAGATCTGTAATCCATCAAAATCTAAACACAGTAAAACTGCACTTATACAGTGTAGCCTTGGTGAATTTACATTGCTAATTTATAAGAAGCAAACAAAGGGAAGAAAATGTCTGTGTTCCTGCAATTAGAGGTTACTGTAATTACAGCTTTACTTATCCTTTAGCCTGACCAAAAAGTCCAGAAGAAATTTTGTAACCAAACAGTGGGATTTGCTCCATTTCTTTCCAAAACACTGAAGCTTCTCAAATGCCTTCCCATCATTCTGAAGTACCTCTTGCAATAGATCAGACTCCTTTTGTTCACTTCAATCAATACAGTGAATAAAAACTCTTACCAAAGAGCATATCCCCAGCAAAGCAGCAGCAGCAAAGCAAACCAAGTCACCATCAGACCCTCGCTCAGGCAGAAATGAGGTCCATAGGTGATGGCTTCATTATGATAAAGCTCAACGCACAGCAAGATGCCCAGCCCACGGGTCATGTTGCTCTCTACGTAGCACTTCTGTTACAGCATTTCATTATCAAAGCCCTTTGCACATCAATTTACAAAACACAGCCAGGACAAAAATCTCTTTTGCTTATTAAATCAAGGGAAGCACTTCACCTATAGGTTCATTCTGGGTGCACTGTGATACAGTTCACCAACACACAGCTCTAGGACCAAAAGCACAAGACAAACACACAAAGCTGAAGCACAGGTCCTTTGCCTACCCCTGGCTGGTATTTACCAAGCTCTGACAGTTAACAGAGTGCAAAAGAAATTCAGATTCCTGCACGCCATCCCATGTCACTGCTGTATGGTCAGCAGGGACTTCTGGAATGGCAACTGCTGTGCTTCACTTCCTTTACACCATTTCAAATGCAACTTTCAGAGCTGTCAGCACAGCAGAGAGGCTTTAAAATAGCTTTGTGTGCTCACGCATTACAAAATCAAAATCCAATTCTGATTTGAACATAACCCTCAGAGGGGACAAGCACTTCAAATTCCAAATCTCTACAACCTGAAAAAGGACAAGACAAAGCACTGCACAACAGAGCAAGTGATAGCACTGATAACACACTTGAGGAAACTCTGTTCATCTTAACCATGCCGGCACAGTTGGACAGCAAACCTCACCCTCCTGTGCATGCAATCATACAGTATGAGAGGGCATACATCTGCACCATGGTTCAGCAGTCAAAATAAATTCTGGCAGCATGTGGCATCTGTCCTCCACCAGGATTTTGCCAAGGTAGGTGGAAAACCAAGCTTGGCATGACTAAGTTACACTGGTAACATTTCAAAGAATAAATCAGCCCTTTTACTGTTCTAGTAACATTCTCAACACAAATGAATGCCACATTCAGACATTGTAATTCAAGCCATTCATATCTTCACTATCTTTTAACTTCATTTCCTGTACGTGTCTATCACAGACATCTGAAAATATTTAAATCAACCTGTACAATAGTGGATCAACACTCGAATACTCCTACAAAGTCATTAAACTGAGGAGAAATTCCTTTTCCATCTAATGCTGCAATAATTGAATCAAAAATCAACTCAGAAAATACAACTAGGGTAGCCTTCTCAATATTCAGTTCACGGAAAGCTTAAAGAAGTGGGAAGGTCTCCAAGCTGAAGCTGAGATGGTCACTGTAGGAGAAAGCACAGACACTACACATGTATTAGCAAAAAAGGAAAGACCGCAATGGGAAAGAAACTCTTATCAGCAGAGAAGACCAGGCATGATATGAAGGAAGAAGAAAGAAGCTCTAGAGCAACCATACAACATGGTTAGCACAGTGACTTGTATCTGCAAGTGGGAATTGAACATTCTCTTCTATCCCAGCTGAAAGGTTTCGTAAGATGACCTTGTTTATTCCTATCACACCTATCTGTGTGATATTTTTCACCAATACTTTGTGACATTACATAACGATGACTTCAAGTTGTACAGTTACCCTTAAAACTACAAAGCAAAGAGTATTTTCAAAAACCCAAATGCCAAGAAGAGTGCTTTCAGTAAAATCTGACAGTGCCCCGCAGCACTCAACTCAGAAGCCTATGTAAAGTCGTGCAGTCTGTGCTGAGACTCTCCATCCCCAATTCTCCTTAAAAGCTTGGTGATCTACTCCATGGTGAAATTACAGTTATCTTTATGTGCTCTGTATATCTCTAAATCTACTGGAGATGTGCTTCTCATCCAACCTGCTTCCCAGGGCAGTGCACATCCCAGGACAGAGGAGTTTTTCTTCACCCACACTGCTATGGACCCAACTCTGCTAGCAGGAAGGATGCTGGTCACATAGATCCTATGGGATGAATGCCTCAAGGAAATTTATACCAAACAACTATTGCATAATCTCAGGATGTACACGGGCATCGAGTTCCTGATGCACTTTTGCACCAGAGGAAGAAGTGCCCTTGTCAACAGCAGCCGCAGGTTCCCGTGTGAACCCGCAGGATCCCCTTGCTGTGCATGTGCAGAAAGTTGAAGATTTCCGAGGGCATCGCATGAAAACCAGGGCGAGGCTTCACGTTGTCATAGTAGTGGTGAGTTATAAAAATCCCTGAGGGGTTCATGGGGAAGGCCCAGAAGCCAAAGAGGTGGACCTCTTCGCAGAGCTCCAGGGCAGCAGTCACCAGGATGAGTCCCGTGCTGATCCGCTTGGCCCGCACCCCTTGGCCCAGCCAGTAGCGCGAGACGTTGATGAGATACTGGGGGTGAAAGTAGTACACAGCTTGCTGAGACTCAAAGTCATCCAGGACATACTTGACCCTGATGGAGACGTCCGTGTTGCGGGTGTTATAGAAGGCCGGCAGCAGCACGGAGGCATTCTCATAAACCTGGAGCACGTTGTAGAAAGGCTTCCTCCACTTCTCCAGCTTATGAAACCTAAAGGGAAAAGGACGCAAGTGATATTCAGATCAGTACAGATCAGTTTGGACACATCAGGCTTTTATGAAGAAAATTCTGACGCAGAGGTAACTGAGAAATGTTTGAATTAATGAGGAGAATATATTTAGATCTGTAGCTGAATCTTCAGTACGGAATGCAAGCCAAAGACATGGGGGATATTAAAAAAACACATTCTCCCCTTCTTTTCACAATGCATTTTGACAATGCTGTCACTGAACAATGCATGGACTTTGTTAATGTCTCACGTCTCCTTTTGTGAGTAATTTTTTCAGCTGTGTAACTCAATATGCAGAACAGGACATTACAGAAAAATGGCAAATACCAAAGCAGAGCAAAAATATTTCCAGAATGCCTAACTGCAACATTTAAAAGAAAACCCCAAGGCAAGAACATGGCTTTATGTTTCTCAATAAATGAAACACATCAGCAAGGAAGGACAATAGAAATCAGTCCCACGGTCCCAAACCTGTCAGCAAGGTGGCAATAAACTATTAACAAATTAAGAATTGAAATCACTTGGTCAAACCTCATATTTAATTTGTTTGTTTGTTTGTTTGTTTAATATGGTGATGTATATTACTTTACTTAAGCACTCAGGGTTGAATCCGGTTAATTCCAACTTAATGAGACCAAGACACCCACCTGGGGCTTGCAGCACAATGTGGGATGGCTATACTGTTAGCCTTCAGCTTCCCACTCCCTACTATCTCTGTATAGGTTTAAATGTTCAACACATTTATTTAAGTTATTACTGTTTCCATGTACTGGATCATTTAAACTCAGAATGAAACCGAGGTTTTCAAGAACTGTGGAGATGTATCACTGGGGGCACGATGAGGATGGGCTGATGGTTGGACTCAATGGTTTTAGTGGCCTTTTTGAAACTTAATGATTCTGCTATTCAGTAAGTTTCATAGTCTCAGTTCCAAGTAATACAGGGACAAAAATTCCCTTTAATAGTTGGAATTTAGTGAAAGATAGATTTGAAAACCAATAGGAGATGGAAACACAAAGAGCAGAGATGACCTCTCAGTAATGATGCTAGGATTGACAGTCACGACGTCCGTCTTCACCCCAACATCCATTAAGTACTTCTCAGATATGGGAGGCAAATTGCATCTGTAAGGGAAATAAATAAGAAATTTGAAAAATTCCTTGTACCTTTTCAGCACTAGAAAGTAGAATTTGTTCAGGTTCTTCCTCTAGTCTTTTGCAGCTGTCTCCTTTTCATGAAGGCAGCCAATGTTCATCCATTTGCATCTCTAGCAGCAGTTTGGCTATTTACTTTGGCGATTAAGGAGCAGAACTGGGGCAAAGCCCCCAAGACAATCACTCTCTAAAACCACAGGTTTCCTCAGTAACAGCTCAGCTGTATTCCATAATTAATATACAAACTGTATCTTTAATGTTGTGATTTATTTCACACCCTAGAGAATTTAGGGGAAATGTTCCACAAGAAAGACATCAGGCCAATTTCTAACTAATCCCAAACAACCTGCTTCCCTCCCTTTTCCCCTTCAGGTAGCTCCCAGCACTCTGTAAGAGCAGCAATTCTGACTGTACAGATTTGACAAGGGACGTATTAGGAGCAAACCTGGAGATGAGGCATATGGGGACATGGTTAGTAAGCATGGTGGGGATGGGCCACAATTGGACTCGGTGATCTTAAAGGTCTTTTCCAACCTTAATGATTCTGTGATTCTAAGATCTGAAGACTTTCACCTTGTCCAGCCTCCACTGGCATTGACCCAGATTCATCATCTTGCAAAATTCAGAGCATCTCTCAAGAGATGCTGAAGTTACACAAGCACACTCATACAAGCTCCACTTCCATTGGAAACTCCACTTAAAAAATAAAACAAACAGCATCATGCTTTATCAGAGACAACACCGTCATTCTTTCAGCTGTCTTACACTCAGCTACATTCAATGCATTTGACAGCCAGGGCTGCGTAGAAGAAAATAATGAAAGAATTCAGCAGAAGCAATGTTAAGAATTTTCACAACATTACAGTGCAGTTGACAGCTCTAAAAACGTATTTTCTTCTTCACTTGTGAGCGAAAAAATGGACAAAAATCCTTCAAAGTCCTTCTCAGATTTAGGAAACTCACATCTACCTCTTGGAGAGTCTTCCTTTATCAGATCAGGCAGCTTTTTACACCACCCTCTCATGGGAGATGTTATTTCCAGCAGTTTTCTCTATGAGGACATACAACATCCTTCTGGAGCCCTCTGCCATCCTCAACTCCAGCCAGTACTGTATTCATTAGATTATATTTGAAAAACATTTTAAATATTCAGCTCCAATATTTTTAAACAGTCAACGCAAAGCAGGATTAAGAAAGTTCAATTTTTTGACAGTGATAATTCCTTATAAGAGCTATACAATGGGCTGTGGTTGGATTTGGGGATCTTGGAGGTCCTTTTCAAGCTTAATGATTCTCTGATACTATGTTTTGTAAAACTTCATCTTGCCCAATCCATCTTACAAAATTCAGAGCATCCCTCAAGACATGCTGAAGTTACTGAAACACACTCACACCAGATTCACTTCCACTGGAAACTCCACTTAAAAAATAAATTCTACAACTCCAAAAACTCACCCCTGCAAAGGGAACAGTCACATCCCAGCATGCACTCGGAATCACTCCACTTGTTATCAGAGATCTCTGCTCTTGCCAGTAGATGGAGACAGACCATAACAACTGGTGAATGCAACTGCTGTGTGTGCATTTTGTGCGTTCCACTGCACTGTAGCTCCCTGCTCTCAAAATCCATTCTATAGAAAAATACTGGTTGCATCCCACTGACCACAAGGTCCTTGACAATACAATGACTTTCCCAGGTGTCCTGGAGGTTCTGTGAAATGCTAGCAGTGCTCCACAGGCAGTTTTTGACATTTTGTTACTGATAAAGATGGTGATTCCCAGCAGTCTTGTAAAGTGGTGCTAGACTGATCTGTTCACACTTCTCTATAAACATAATTGTATTTTAAAATCGATGTCAGCAGAGCGTAAGCTCCTTTAACATGGCTTTATGTGTAATTCTGGTCAAAGATATTTTGAAGATGGCAAACCAGTGGGTTTTGTTTTTTTTTTTTTTTGCATAAGTAGCAATATGCTTATTCATATTTCATTTCTACTCAAGTCTCTATTTAACAAATTACAAACAGCAAAAGCAATCCAATTCCAACTCCTACGCTGTGCACTGCTCTGTTCTTTTTATGAGGGTGTGATCCAGGAAAGGGTCACAGTGGTAAGAAGAGCCCTCCACTGAAAGTTCTTGTGCACAAGAGATGACATCTGCTGCCTGCATTTCCACTTCCATTCAATAGTTTGTCACCTTGAGGCATAACATCTGCCTTCAAATCAATCATACGGCAATACAACACAGAAGAAAAGAACCTGTTATACTTACATTGTATGCACTGTACAATAGCCCTTTAAACTGAAGGAAATTATGTGAAGCCTAGATTATTTCACAGATTAAAATTAGGACAACAGATTAATGTAGAGTGGGCACAAGACATAAGGGTATGAAAATAATGGATAGTGAATGTAGGACCTCTACATCATCGCTTTTCATTTGATGTCAAGTTTAGAATGACTTGAGTTTAGAATAGACTTGCATTTAAACTGATTTTTGATGGTATAAAACTGGAGAAATTCACTGATTTAAGAACACTTATTTTAAACTTAGGAAAATGTACCTGAAGTCAGAAAATGGGCCAAGAGAAGTCAACTGATATTCTTTTCTATAAAGCAGGTCATGGATCTGTGAACTAGCTGTCATGTGCCATGACCCAGACAGAGAGCTTAGCAGGATGCAGAGAGGGATTAGAAGTGCTTAAGAATAATAAAAGTAACCCTCCTTCATATTAAGGATGATGAAAATACACAAGACATTGTGCCTGGGCAAATGTCCATGCAAGGATCTACTTGGGTAACGGGGCAAGAGGGACAAATGCTGCCAGTAAGTCAGTTAGTGTCCACATGGAGTTAGAAAGAAATAACACCTCAAATCTTAAGTTTAAAACAAATATTATACAGGGAAGTTTTTCTTTAAAATATCACCATGTTGTGCAAGAAGCAGCCTTGACTTGGTCAGTTTGTAAACCCAGAGTTTCCACTTGAGAGGGAATAGCTCTGCAGTCCTTCATATGCCAGTAAAACAGAAAACAGATGAATAAACACACAAAGTCTGTACCGAAACACAAAGTCTGCACTGTCGATCTCTCGGCCACATCTGCTGTTCTTCAGGATCCCCCCATTCCCAACCACTGCACACTTCTTGAACTGGGAGCGGTGGTATGGCATGTCCTGCAACGTCAGAGAATGCAGGTTAGTCACCTCCTGAAGCACGGAGCAAGAAAACTTTTTCTATTATTCCTCTTTTTTTTTTCTTTTTCTCTTTTGCTGCCCTTTTCTTTTCCGGGGGGGGGGGGCGCAGCTGCATCTTGATGCAAATGCACGCATTGTAGGAAGCTGACAACATTCCCACGGTGCACATAAACAGATGAAAACGTTATCTGTGCAATTAGAAGTGCTGTGAGAAACTAACTCAGAATGAAACACGCAGAGCTCTCTTTGCTCAGACTTAATAATGGAAGAAGTCATTTCAGTAACTCACTTTCCTTTCTGATTTGCACACAGGGGCATGAACCATAAACCTATGGCATGCAAGATGATGATGTCCTTTGGAGAAGTCTGCAGATCTCAGAGCAGATGGTGAAGCCCAGGAGGTCTCTCTAAACCAACACATTACAGCTATTTATCAAAACTGAGCCTAAATGTTAGTGCTTGCTACCACTAACTGTACCAATAGCATTAATTAATAATAATTAGCTTTTATAGCACTGCTGCTGTAGAAGTCAGAATGAGTGACAGTCCCATCTCAGAAAGCACAACAGGGCCATTAGGGTACTGCACCCAAAAAATATGTACAGACGCTTTTATGTAAGCACAAGAGTGCTCTTTTTTTCTTTTTTCTACATACATATTTTATCAGTAATTTCATGCTGCAAACTACAGAGGGAGTGATAACGGTATAACATTTCTAGGTGATTATCTCCAGGATTTTTCCATACCATTCACTGCACTACCTTAAGCAGTATTCAGAAAGCCAACACACTAAAAGTGGTTAGACCTTCAAGGCCAACATTAGTCACAGAATCCTGTGTACTTAAATTCAGTACTTTCTTCCCTTTATGAAAGGGACAAATTGCAGTTATCCCTTGCAAATATCCCACGTTAAATTCAGGATCAGTCAGTAGTCACATAAGATGACTTCTGCACATCAGTACAAAGTGCAGAGGGATTGCCCACCAGTTACGTTTGTACTTTGGCCCTCAGGTCATGGGTTATTTGTTAGAAAGGTTTTGAATAATCTTTACGATGAGTATGTTTAAAAATATTGCAACCTATTGACAGATAAGCTACAACAGGGATAAAAAATAGTCACTGTGAATCTGAGTTATAAAATAAAGGAGCCCATTAAAAAGCAGGCCAATGGCAAAGGCTGGATTTATTACATGTGAATATTGTACTTTAAAAGTAAGTTAGGTTTATGTTCTGAAGGAAAATGCTTAGACATTGCATGCTGGCCCAGATGAAAACAGGATAATCAATTGTAATGTTTATCACAAATAAACATACTCAGAGTATTCAAAAGTATAAGCAATGATGTCTGGACAAATGCTAAGCAGCTGTTTGCTTAGACTAGATATGAGGAAGAAGTTTTTTTTATAAGGGTGATGATTCAATGGAACTGACTGCTCCCGGAGATGCTGGACAGGGCTTTGAGCACCTGGCAGAGCTCTGGGTGTTCCTGTTCACTGCACAGAGTTGGACCTGATGGCCCTTAAGGGCTCCTTCCAATTGAAACGATTCTATGACTCTAAAAGTGTCCTCAGCATAATATGTAATTAAGCAAGCAGAGTGAAGTTGGTTTAGTAGATGGACAGAGGCACCTTTGGAAACATTTTGAAGATTTCTTGGTTGATGTGGAAGATTCCACTAGTATCCACTTCGTACTTCAGCTTAGTTCCCAAGGGAGTGTTTTTCTGAGTGGTGAACAAGAAGGCAGGGGCATTGCAACACCTTGACAGTGAAGATCTGGAACACGAAAAAGAGAGAAATGAGATCTAGGAGGTGACAGTGTGTTTTAGGATTTGCAGTTACTATTATTGCTAACAAGGCATTTTTTGAGGGAAAAAAACCCCTCCTTTTAACAATATGGGGGATAAAATGGTGGTTTTTCCTTTAGAAAATCCAAGGTAGAAATCCACAAGCAAACTGATCTGCTCTACATCCCCAAGCTGAGCTTATGCCACCTATATCCCATGGAAAACATCCTCATTAATTAGCCCCTTTCTATGTCAGAGGGCTACCATCTTTTGCAAATTATTCACTCATCACTGAACAGGAAATACAGGGGTTGAATTCTTCATCTAGGGATGAATAGCAGACAAATGTCCAACATTTTCTTTGTCACTAGTACAAAAGAGCAGATATTCCAAAGAAAACAAAAATGGCTTTGAAATCTCAAAAATGGGATTCATGTCATGGGAGAAAACCCAAGTTTCATATGAAATGTACGTAGGAAAAGTAGTTTTCCAAATAAAGGTCCATTCCCTGACGCTCCTCTCTTTTTCCTGGTGGAACTGAAAGCCCTGACTTAAACTCACTCCAGAGCCAGTTTGTTTCCGTCGATGCACCTTGTCCTTTTAATGAAAAATGCATGTAATGGTCAACACATAAATGTGAACTCAAGGCCAAATGGCCACATTAGGTACCTTGCCTCCAGGTAAGGACACCTCATTAGGAGCTGAAAGACAAAGTCATTTTGCTCTGTGGGTTTTATTATAAGAATTGGAAAAGAAATGCAGAATAATGCAAACATTTCAGTGATGTTCAGTTATTGTTATGTACTTGGCTGAAGCAGAAAGACACCATAGGACAATCAGAACAAGGCAGCAACTGAGACTGCATGAATCAACGAGTAATTCCAAATAATGAAATCATTAACTAATTAAATGCAGGTAGTCAAATTAAATTGTGATATCTGAGATATGAAAATGCTCTTCATTAGTTCTGCATTTCTTAAGGTAAATGTCTGACAGCTGATTGAGAATGACCATCCAGAAATTGCTTTCTTCAGTCTAGATTTTCATGCTTTGTCCTTCTGAACTGCTAAATATCTCCAAGGAATCTGTAAGATAAAAGGCTCTAATTGTGCCTAGCTCTTTTCTTGGTCATAATGGACTTTGATAACTGCCTATCAGATATTTTATAGAAAAAATATACAATAAAAACATATGTGTGGAGCTCACCTTAGAAAAAAATGCTAAAAGTCTATAACTAACAATTCTAAAAGATGTTAGTGTCCAACTCAGCACATGTATTCTCACATTCTCTCACTAATTCATATCACCTTTTTCCTGTAATCATGGAAGAGAATTTGGGAGAAATTTGCAGGTCCTCATTCTAAATAACAGCTTTGAACCACACCAGTGACTTACAGAATTCTAGTCTATATTCTGCTTTGAAATCACAGAATCATAGAATCACAGAATCATAGAATGGCTGTGGTTAAAAGGGATTCCAAGGATCATCAAGTTCCAACCCCCTGCCACAGACGGGGCCACCAGCCTCCAGATCTGGTATCAGACCAGGCTGCCCATGGCCCCATCCAACCTGGCCTTGAACACCTCCAGGGATGGACGGGGCATCCACAGCCTCTCTGGGCAGCTGTTCCAGCACCTCACCACTCTCACTGTGAAGAACTTCCCTCTGACATCTAATCTAAACCCTCCTCCCTTGAATTAAATAATGTGTTTTCTCTAGGTGCACTCAAACATGGCCCTTGAATACACAACGTTCAAGTATTTTTGGGCTTAATTCTACTATTGCCTTCACGAGATCAGTTTCACAAACTGTGTCTCGAAATGCAATCCATATTGAATGTCTGGCAGTTTAGCAAGAAGTTGAACTCAGACTAAAGTAATCTTGCACAGCCCCATCACTGTGGAGCATTCTTACTTGAATATGTTGGCTTCTGTGACATTCATCTCCCATTTACACATCTGTAGGCTCTTCCACCTGTCAAATAATTCGGTTTGTTTCACCCTAAAAGATAAAAAGAAAGAAAAACAGAATTCACTTTATGACATGGGATTCGCTTCTTTCAATAGGACAAAGAAGTCAGTCTATTCAGGGCAAAACTTATCTTTTAAATTATTTTTTCCTCCTTAGATATAGCAACACTAAGCCTTGTATACACAGGTATTGGTGGAGCTCATCAGAGGTCTGAGAATTCTTCAAGGCTCATAGGCCTTAATGAGTTCTCTTCAGGTTTGAGGGCTTTGAATGTTCTAATAAAGCAAAGGCTTTTAAGATAATTATATATTTAAAGTGAGTAGCACTTAGGATTTCCCAGGCTGTGGAAGCCACAGGAAGGAACTAGGTCATATCGTTCTTTCCGTAGCCCCCCAGAGCATATTAACTTGGAAATCTTCCATTACCATATGGGCTGACTTAGGAAGCACAGCAAAAAGAAAGACATCAGAAGAACTGAGCATAACAAAAGAGGTCAGTGTCAAATGGCTGTCACAGAGTAAGGCTGACTTGATCCCACTGAGCAGGAGTCCTGTATCTTTTGTGTACCATTGGAAAAGATGAAAAGTCTCTGTGCCATCTGATAAGTATGCAGAAAAGTGATTCAAAACTCACCATCTTCAGCAGAACATTGGCAGAAGTATCACATTCTCACCCCTTCCATTTATTTTTAAGCACTGCATGTCAGCAGGCAGTGCAAAGTTGCTACCCTTCTATCCTTCATCCAGTACCAAATGCAGAAGACAAGGACATAACCTACATTCTTTTGAGCATGAAGTCAGTGAGGGAGACATGCTCAAAATTCATACAGACCTGGAGCAGGAATCCAGTTCTGCAGCCTTGACTGCTTAAGGCTCTGCATTTGTAAGGCTGCACTTTCAGCTGAGAATATCAGTTCACAGAACTGTGGATGACTACAGCATGATTTTAGATAGAGGAAGGGACTAGGCATAATGTGAGTACCTAAAGTCACTGTCAACTGAAAACGCAGAAGGTCAGTACAGAAACTTTCCATTTTGCTTTGTGCAATCAGCACCATGAGCAACCTGTATGTTTCGACTGACTCTATCTGCTTCCATGGATACATCCTGGAACCTGGTATTAGTGAGGCTAGACACACTTCCATTACTTTGTCTGTCTATTCTTACTCTTCGCTTACCTTTAGTAAACCAGATAGAAATAGTATTGCAAACACTGTATTTAATTCCAAATTATGATACCAGGCCTGACTAAAATGTCTCAGTGTACTTAAAAGCCTTGATTTTTTTTCAAATGGACATCATACAGCATTCAGATATCACTATTTACACATTAACACATAGGAGAATCTCAGGAAACTCTGGTGAGATCCCTAGTGACAGGATGCCCTGCACCTTACATCCCTGACAACTTTATCGTAAGTTACCATTTTCATCCTGTCTAGAAAGCAACCTCCTTAGCAAGAATTCACACTTACATAGACAAAACTTTCACTGCAATGATGTCCTGTCGCAATTCCAGGCATTTGGTGGAGTTGTATTCCAGTGGCCCTTCATAAAACTCGAAATACCTGAAGAAGAACAAAAACAAAGACTATAAGCCTGAGACTAGGTTACTTACCTTACATGTCAACTGAAATGTACTTTAAGTTCTCATTTGTGATCTCTGACAACAACTGGCCCAAAGGCAGTTACTACTTCCAGCAGAACACAGATGTCATTGCTGATTGTAGAACAGCCACCCATCCCCAGCTCTTCAGATATTCAAACACTAATTTGAGACGTTCAGCAGGGGGACTAGGCATAATGTGAGTACCACAATGAGGAGCACTCAGCAGTTTCCATTTAGCTAACTCAAACTAAATGGATAGTTTTTCAAACAGCATCCAATACAGCTTGCTTAGGCGATAACAGCCTATGATGTCAGATCAGTTCATGTCTCCAGTAGGCACATCCAAGGTGGTGCATTTTCCAATGGGTAGCACATGACAGATGCCACTGAAGGTCAAGTGAAAAGTGCTGATCACTTATGGAACACTATTCCCATCTTTTGTCTGAACATTCTGAAAATTAAAAATAAACAGTTCCTTAAATTCTTAGCAAAGTGCTGGAGGTTTCACCTTGTCTGTGTAGAGTGTTGCATAGCTCAATGCAACTGAGCTTCTCCTCAAGTTTTACTTAATCTTTACATTCAGAGGAGAAGGGGAAACAGGATTTTCTTCTCAAAAAGTTTGAGATGTTTTTGAGAACAACAGAATTTGGATGTTCAGACACATCAGATCTGACACTTCTAATCCTAATTAAAATCTGACAAAAATATTTACTTTTTTGGTCACGTTCCTCCTCTTCAACCATCAGACTGAAAAAAACAGAGAGAAAAAAGACAATGGCAGGAACTCAGTTATATGAGCCAGTGAAAGTCTAGGCTGGCCACTGAATTCTTTCAGACTGTACCAAAATTACAAAAATAATTTAGGGTTTAAGCCAAGCTCTGTGTCTCTTTTGCTCTATCACTGTAAGTCTGTGCTAAAACTCAAGAACTGCACATATCCATAAGACAGTATGATGAAGAAGTACAACTGAGTGACCTGGAGAAGGAGTATTACAACAGAAGCTAGATGAAGCTATTCTGATGAATCCTTCAAAACCTCAAATTCAAAACCCTGTAACTACAACATGTCCTCTGAATTTTCAGAAAGAAAAATACTAGATTCCTGTAAGAGCTTTATTTTAGCCATAATTGGTAATGTAATATTTTGGCGTGGTGACATATGAAAATTAAATCAAAGATCATGTCTGATCTGAACTTCTGTTCAGTTTCCAACATAAAACCCTTTCAGATGCTCCAGAGGGAACACAGAAGTAAGAAAACCTTATTTTAGTGGTTCACGTTTTTGGTTAGCAGCAAAATCTTGAGGGACCCAAATGTTGACCCCTTCTTGAGAAGAGCTAAGTACTGACACTGCCCAGTGGAACTGCTGGAAGAGAGCACGCCTGAAAAATATCTCCAGGAATCTCCACAACGTCCTCCTAATGCCAGAACTATCTCAAGGCATTCTGAATTTTTTCCTTTTAAGTAAATCCAGAAATTGACTTGATAAAGCTAGGAAGAGAGAGAACCACAAAAGGGTGAAAAGGACTACGGTCTGCGACTGCAGAAAGCCCAAAGCTTTCCACAGAAACCTGCCACCAACTGTGGACATCTCTTAACTCGTCAAGAACTGCTTGAAGTGTGTCCTTCAACACAGGATTTTATCACTTCGACTTTGCCCAGTCCCAAACCAACCACTGTGATTCAGTGAAGGACAGAATCCTTGAGACCAAGAGGAAGGATCGCATGCTGAGAAATGGCAGGAGTAGAACACCAAAAATTCTTAATAAGGAAGTAAACTGATTACAGTCAAGAACTGTAGAATCATAGAATCACCAAGGTTAGAAAAGACCTCCAAGATCATCTAGTCCAACATTTCTCCACCAAATCAAGTCCCTCTGTACCACATTTACATGATTCTTGAACACTTCCAGGGAAAACTCAGAGGTGAAAGAAGCCTAATAATCTTTCAAAAATGTGACTATGCTGAAGTATGCTCATTTACTTTTCAAGGCAATAAACACATTTTTATAAGTTCTGCAGAAGAAATAATGAATTTGAAGTGTTGTATAACTAGTGATTAACCTGGGAAAAGACTTCTTCAGCCCCTAGAAGGAGGATGGAAGTCATCAACATGACTGGTCTCCCACCAAAGCCCCTGGGCTCTCTTTCTGACTCAATTATCCACCTGGACATTCAGCCTTTAGTGAATATCAGTTAAAATCCATTGCACTGTTACATATCCTGTGTGCTTGTGGAGCTGGAGCTGAGCAATTTATCTATTAGGAAAGTTGCTCCAGCTGAAACTAGTTGAAGAACTCATCTGGTTGAGCAAGGTCAGAGCTTGATGTACTCCAGATAAATTCCCAAAGCTGCCTTCATAAGACTTCTGCTCAGATGTGAAACAGCAAGTAATCACATGGGAAAGCTGGCTGCAATCCATAGCATAGCAGACAAAGATATCATTTTATGAAAAAGGTTAAATTTCCTGTATTCTAGAAGCTCTATTTGGTCACTGCTTGTTTTTCTAGTCCACAAACAAAAAAAAAAAGAGAGAAGGATGTGCTACTGACGGACAGAAGAACAAAGAGGAAAGGGCTGCACAAAAAGTAAAACGACTTTTGGTTCTTCAAGGAAGCTCATGAAGCAGCAATGCATTTGTAATACTTGTAACAGTATAACTACAGGCCGGTGAGCCTCACCTCTGTGGGAATATCATGGAGCAGATCCTAGAAGCTATGTGAAGGCACATACAAGATGAAGACGAGATTCAACAGCCAGCATGGCTTCACCAAGGGCAGATTGTGCCTGACCAACCTGGTGGCCTTCCATGATAGAGTGACAGCTTCAGTGGATGGGGGAAGGGCAATGGATGTCATCTATCTGGACTTCTGCAAAGCCTTTCACATGGTTCCTCACCACGGAGAGGTGTGGATTTGAAGGATGGACTGTTTGATGGATTAGAAATTGACTGGCTGGATGCAGCCAAAGGGTTGTGACCAATGGTCCTGTGTGCAGGACTGGGTCCAGGGTGCAGGCCGGTGACAAGTGGTGTCCCTCAGGGGTCGGTCTTGGGACCGGTGCTCTTCAACATCTTCATCAGTGACACAGATGATGGCATCGAGTGCAGCCTCAGCAAGTTTGCGAATGACACCAAGCTGAGCGGTGCAGTCGATACATTGGAGGGAAGGGAAACCATCCAGAGGGAGCCTGGAGAAGTGGGCCATGTGAACCCAAAGAGTTTCAACAAGGGCAAGTGTAAGGTGCTGAAGTTGGGTTGGGGCAGGTATTTATTTATATTCCAGGTATTTATACAACTGGGGGAAGATCTCCTTGAGAGCAGCCCTGTGGAGAAGGAACTTGGGAGTCCTGCTGGATGAGAAGCTGCACATGAGCCAGCAGTGTGCGCCTGCAGCCCAGAAGGCCAGCTGTGTTCTGGGCTGCATTAAAAAGGGGTGGCCAGCAGGAAGAGGGAGGTGATCATGCCCCTCTACTCAGCTCTTGCGAGGCCCCATCTGCAGCACTGCGTCTGAGACCCCCAGTACAGGAAGGACGTGGAGCTCTTGGAGCAGGTCCAGAGGAGGGCACTGAGATGATCAGAAGGCTGGAGCAGCTCTCCTATGAGGAAAGATTGAAGGAACTGGGCTTGTTTAGCCTGGGGAAGAGAAGGCTCCATGGAGACCTCATTGTTGCCTTCCAGTACATGAAGGGAGAGTATAAACAGGAGGGGGAACGGCTGTTTGTGAGGGTGGATGGTGGTAGGACAAGGGGGAATGGTCTCAAACTGAGACAGGGGAGGTTCAGGTTAGATATTAGGAGGAAGTTTTTCACTCACAGGGTGGTGAGGCACTGAAACAGGTTGCCCAAGGAGGCTGTGGATGCCCCATCTCTGGAGGCATTCAAGGCCCAGCTGGATGTGGCTCTGGGCAGCCTGGTCTACTGGTTGGTGACCCTGTACACAGCAGGGGGTTGAAACTGGATGATCTTTGTGGTCCTTTTCAATCCAAGCAGTTCTATGATTCTATGATTCTGTGATTTCAGCAGCCTACAGCTCAGAAGAGCACAGGGCTGTCCTGTCAGCCACTTCTCCCAGTACGTCACCTTTTCCAGTTTCCAGCAGTCACTGGGAGTGTCAAATTCATGGTTTGAAACTCAGGCTGCAAATGCTGATGATGCTACAAAATAATTCTTACAAGGATCAAATCCTGTTTCTTAACACCAAAAGCACTGGGAGAGAATTCTTTCTAAGTCCCTTGATACTGAATGAAATGAGATGCTGCTTGCTCTGACATTCTCCCACTTGCCTAAACAAGGCTTTCTTCTTTCCTAAACTTCATGTCTCTCACTGCCACCTCACTTACAATTGAGCAGCTCATTGAGCTGGCAAGTGAGAGGCAGATGCGACTCCCAAGCACATCAGCTCATGCTTAGGTCTTTGGTCATCTGCAGCCGGGCTGCTCCAGCTTTGACTGGAAGTCAGCTTTGTTTGATAGTGCTGCAGGAATTAAGCCTGAGACATGTCTTCAAGTGACTCTTGGATCAAGGCACGGATTCTTCTGATAAATTGCATAAAGGTTTTAAAATATAATTGAATGTCACTGTCGAGCATGTTTTAAACAAGACCATTTTCTCCTGCAAAAACGTCCTTCCCATTTTGCTTGTTCCTGCAGGGATGGTTCTGCACTGCTCATGATGAGGCTGCAAGAGAGCAGAGCAACATGTGAAGGTTTGGACCTGTCTCCACAGGAAAGATCTTTCCAAAAATACATGTTGTTCAGAGACTAAGAAATGAGAGCAAATACCTGAAGATCTGTAAGTTTCTATTAAAGATTCTATTTAGATTCTACTTAAATTCTATAAAAATTCTATTATTAAGAGAAATGTCCAATCTGCAGTGTCTGCACTGATTAGATGGGCAGATCTATATCTAACTCAAGTCTAGACTCACCTTGCCCATTCGAGAATCTTACAAGCTAGACAGAGCTTAACTCCAAAAGCATATGGGGGCTTGCATTCATTCAGCTGGGCTAGCACAGATCCTCAAACCTTTTCTGCAAAACAGTGGATCAGGTGGAGTGCACCACAGCTACAGGGGCTCTGGGAAAATCCACACAGTGCAAAGTAGGTGCTGACTGTAACAGAGAACTTATTGCAAGTGAGGGACCAAACCTTGCCAGACTTTACCTCCATTACTAATTCTATGTGACTCACCCAGTTCAGCTCTTTTGCAACAGCTGTGGGTGGAGCAGCTGTATAATGCGTCACCTTCAGTACAATTTATTGGAGAGCATATCAGATTGGAATTTTGGAGGAAACTTCATTGTTTCTTTCCTTTCTTTATCACAATATTAAAACAACGTCAGCACCTGACAAGCAGTTGGATATGCCAGGGAGCTCTCTTTTAGCAATGCCAGTTCTGAACTCTCCAATTTTTTAATAAACTGCTGTTAGGCTGTTTTAATCAATCCTATTCCTATCACTTTGATTGAAACAAGCCACCGATGGTGTTAGCCATAGAGCCTTCTGGGAGGCATAACAAAGCACAAGTCAACACTTATACATCAATAACATATCAAAAAACTCATTTTAGGTTATGGTTTTAAGCAATGCATTTTTTTTTCCCCTTCCTAGTTCTCAAGATTCTAGAGTCTTTGAGTTCAGTACTGTGAATTAAGGGATCTCCTCAACTGCTCTGCTGGTCCGTGAGGTCTCACGGCTCACACTCATCTTGTAAGATGTGTATTTGATGAATTCAGCTGACTGCACTTTCTGTTTTGCAGCCACTGAGGACAAAGTTTCATATTTGCCATGACGGAAAATTCAGTGTATAAACCTCTGGGCACCAAACCATACAGCTCACCTCCTCCTTCACCCATTAGCGACTTCTGAGATCTCACTACCTATGTTCTGCATTGACCACATCTTCAGCTCAGATAGACTGAAGGTGGCAGAGATCACATAATGCATCCAGTGGGACAGGTGGACCATCAGACCAGCTTGATTTAGCAACAAGCGCTTTAAGTTTGAAGGTTCACAGTACCATTAAGTTGAACGATATATTCGCGTTGGATGTTAGGAATAATTTCTTCCCAGAAAGAACAGTGATGCATCAGCATGATCTGCCTAGTGAAGTGGTGGAGTCTCCAACACTGGAGGTGTTCAGGAACCATGGAGTTGCAGCACTTGGGGACATGGTCAGTGGGCATGGTGAGGTTGGTCTTGGGCTTGGGGATCTTATCAGTCTTTTCCAACCTTAAGGATTCTGTGATTCTACGTGTTTTTCTAGATCTGCAGCAATGTCACATGCATGGAAACGAACCTTCTGGTGCTCAGAAAGTCCCAGCAAACACATAACTCTGTAGGAAATCTACACACAGCAGTATCAGCTAACACAAAAGGATTCACATTCACTGCACCACACACTAACCCAAATTCATGGCATCATTTTTTATCTCCTGGGAATGGTTCTATGCAGGCCAAAGAAGTGTCTAAATCCTCTGGGATGAAAAGCCTCATTGGTTACCTCGGTTACTGTGGGACAGTAGAGCTGCCAGCAACTGAAGTAGGGCTCATTCTGGAATTCCAACTGCAAGCTACACTTAATTTCGTACTTTAGTTAATGTCTGAATCAGAGTTCCTACTCAAATCAGACAGCATGATGTTCTTCACTTTTGTGCTATTTTACCCTTCTTGAGCAGTCTTCACTATTCATTGGTTTTGGCATGGCCCCCACTCTTATGAAGTCTGTCTGTCTTGAAATTCTTGCAAAAATGAAATTATTTGCTCAGTATGCCTTTTGCTTTGGAATTTCTTTATTTGCAACTAATAAATCTCTTGCAAAATGAGCGATGAGTACATTAAATTACATCACTAAAAGACAATGAGTAGTTATAAAACACAAATGGATCAATACCAGGCATGTATGAATAAACACGTATCTATACGCATGAAATACAGGAATGACAGGAGCCAACTGAAGTAACATCTATTTCAGTTACTACTTTTAAACACTAAACCTTCTACAAAGAAGGAAGGAATAACACACAGTGAAATGCAGAGCCATGCAATGAGAGGTATACAGTGAGCATGCTGACACATAATCAGTGTTGTACTCTTTAGACATCTCTCTGGAGATGCATAAATACACACAAGTAAAATCAGGCTGGGAAAATTCATTCTGCAAGTTTTCTTTCTGATAGAAAGAATTATTCATTAGAGGAAGGCTTGCTTTCAGATGATACCAACAGTCTGATGTTGGGTGTTATGCTAGGCCTCTCAGGAGATGTCTAGTGGTAACTCAGCAGGAAAGGTGATCAAAGGTAAACAGCAAACAGCTGATGACACAACTCTGCAGTTATTCACCATGCAGCCTCACCTCCATATCTACATAGCTCTATTTTACTTTTCTGCATACTTCACTCTCAGACAGTAGACAAATGGACAATGTCTGTAATGCATTTATGCGCAATGCATGTCACAGCCAGACCTGTCCCCAACCTGAAACCCCATCTTTCATCTCCACGCTTATTAACATACTGACTTTGAAATCTGCTTATGTCTATCAACATTAACTGCATAGAGAATCACAGAATCATAAAACCATCTGAGTTGGAAAAGACCTTTAAAGGCCAGCTGGTCCAACCCCCCTGCAACGCACAGGGAAATTTGTACCTAACTCATGCAATTAGATACTGTTTGTATAACAAAACACTCTTCTCCTGAACCTCCTCCTTGTTGAAGGGGCTAAACAGATTGAGAATGGCACTGTTGTTCAGTGTCATCCAATATCATATGCATTTTGCAGTCAAAGGTTTCTCCATCCCACAGGCAGTGATGGTTCAATTGTTCCTGCCAAGGGCACTTACAAGAGGAAATCTATATTAACTCTATTCTATCTCCAGGAAGACATCTGTCTTTGTGCCACATTCAGTTTTCTTTTATGCCAAGTGCCCTGATCAAAGACTTTGAACATACAGACCGTAGATGCACTCACTAAAAATGCAAAAAAAAAAAAGGTATAGACGGGCAGATGGATCCATACATAAAAACAGAAAGAATGAACCATTCTTCTCTGGTTCTGAGCTAAATGCTGCTGAGAGGCCATCTCTTTCCACAATGTTTCCTTAATGAGTGGCAGCAGCAGGGATACAGATCCCGTTACATGAAAGAGCCATACAGGAACTGCAGACCGCTGTGATTTGGTGAGATGGGTGATTTTTGGCAGCTCATGTGCAGTACTTCCTCTGGCTGTTGAAATGCTATCAGCTGCACAGCTGCAGTAGAGAGTGGCTACCAAAATACACTGTGATGGCATTTCACACACAACACCTAATTTAGGCAGGGAGAGCTTTATTAATGCAATGCAATTTCTTCTAATTATTTTTCTTTTCTTTAACTTACAGTGTTTCTAAAGTTTCCCTGCTATTTATTCAACTCAGTACTATACAAGATTCAGGTTATTTAATTTCCTTCAAGTCCATAGGAACTGGGAGGACTATGCAGTGAAAGGTCCTTTCTAAACCACCCACAGCAAGGTTTCACCACAGTGAACCCATCCTCAGCTCAGATGGACTCTCGATAGCAGAGGGCATCATAACCCAACCAATGGCCCAGATGTGTCATCATACATTTGTTATTAAATACATGACTGTAAATGTACGTTGTGTACTGAACATACAGAGCTTTGCTCCTTGAGGTAAAAGTGCAAGAGTTTGTCCTGTACAAAAGATGAAAACCAGGCAGCCTTCCTTTACAGGAAAGGGCCCTTTCCTATGATTGATATTCTAGGAACTCGTCCCACATATCAGCCCCATACCTGCATCAAATTTTGCACACAGTGATAGCCATAGAGCTCCCTGTGACAGCTGCAGTGTCTTACCAATGCACACGGCCTTTCATGGCCCTTTATATACAGATCAGTCTGAAGAATCCTACTATAAATTAATAAAAGTGCAACAGCGAACAGTGCATCAGCACTTATTCAATCATCTTCAGAATACTAAACAAAGGAAATATTCTGGTCTTGCTTTGACAGACCATTTTTCCACTATGAGGCACTGGACTGATTTCAAGTTAAACTATGTTTCTTAGAATGAGCATTCTACCATAAAGAAAAGCCCTTCCCAATCAAGTACACTTTCCCATACTTCCCTGTATATTTACAAATGGCCATGGTGGAGAAATGGGAAAAGGAGAGGCCAGGACACAGATGTCACCATCCTGCTCATCTTAAGGGTGTTTATGGCATATTCTAAACGGCCCCAAAACCTGGGTGGGCCAGCACAGCATCCCCAGAATCTTCTGTGATGTGTGAACAGCATCCGGCGGACAAATCAAACCGTAAATCTGTTCATATAGCCTGTGCTCACACTTGTTCATACACAGAGCAAGAGGTGTCTGCAGTCATCCCCTCCGGTGCCAGTACCTGGTGCCTGTGTCACTGCCACTCTTCACTGCTCCGTCATCCGTGAAATTAAAGGTGCCGGTCCAATTGGCCAATTCCTCTCCATTCTGCCAGCTAAACTGCAGCCCTCTAGCAAGAAAACGAGGCAGTTGGTATTTGATACCATTCATTAGGTTAAGTCTATCAGCACAAGTTCTCACGTCCTTTTTCTTAAGACAGAAATGTGACTAAGACACAAACATTGTCAAAAACAACAAAAAGATATCAAGAGCCACAATGCATTACCTTAGCAGTGCAAACCATTAATTTTCACTTCCAATGGACTCTACAAGCCCTTTTCTGAAAGCACCACCAGTCACCCCAACCAAGCAAAATGGAGGGCCAGTGCTCAGAACCACATACGGATGCATGAAGCATAGTGGAAATTTCAGTCCCAGAGTACAGAAAGCTGTGGACCGATGTGGAAAACTCTAGGGTCAAAGAAATAAACCCTCCAAACTTCAATTTCACATCTACTGCAGCTGTTACATGTGGTGGGACTTGGGTTCCTCCTCTAGCCTCTTCTAGCCATGCCACCAGAGAATTTATCATTGTTTGCAGTAGTTGATGACTTCTCTAAGTCACACCATATTGCTGCTTCCCCCTTTTTGGGAAGAGGACATGTTTTAAGCAAATGCAAACGATCACAACCATCACAACTCCCCATTTTCCAAACTTTCACAAATTCACTGCATATCCCAGGGTGCCTGCATTCCTCAGATTTCAGCAGGAGTTGGAACTGGATGGGCTTTAAGATTCCTCCCAAACTAACCATTCTGGGATTCTGTGACTGTGAATAATCTGTAATCCTGGGAACCCCTGAAGTAGAAATCTAATGCATATTTTAAAAAGTTGGATCTGAAGAAACATTTGACAACACTAGTCAAATCCTTCCGATCGCTCAGAAGACAACGAATTGTTATTTTTAATCTTCTCCATTTTAACACAACTTTCACAAAATGATTTCAGAGGGCTGGCAGCTGCACTATGAACATTTGGTGCTGCCAGTACTGCAAGCTAACTTCCTGGCAGGGCTGTGCAGGAAGCAATCTGACAGCCTGCTTTGCCCAAAAGAAAGGGCATCCAGGATCCCACTGGGTCCACAGGTAGTCACAAGGACTCTCAGATCCCATCCATCCTCCAGTCTGACTGGCAGCAGTTAGCAGCCCTGGAAGATAAGACAAGGGGCATTAAAAAAGGAATTCTGAAGGAGGTAGGGAGTGGTCTGAGCTGAAGACAGAGATGGCATCCCGTCCACTTGTAAAAGCACATCCAACAGTGTGTGGGTTATACCATAATGCCAACAGGTAAAGCAGTGCTATTGCTCATCAGAGAGTCCTACGCCTCTGACATTGCTCTTAGCTTTAACCAGCTGAGGTTGCCCCAGGAGATGATTTCTACAAAGAGGATGGTGTGAAGAAAAAAAAAAAAATCCATGAGAAAATTCTCACTTTTACTAAGACACCTTCACTTCAGGCTTGCTGAAATAACACTCATGATGCACCACAGTCTAACACATTATGACACTCACGACTCCTTTGGAGAAGTGTTTCATTTCAATGTAAATGTCCTTAAAAAAGACAATTTAAGCCCTTAAAAATCTGCCCCTAAAGCAAAATATATAACAAAATCACTCTCCAATCCCTCCTCTCATTGGGACTTTTTGGAAACACTGTGTCCTGCAGCTGAGGAAGTTTACAAGAGGACACACATATCTTGAGTAAGATCCAGCAGGAGATCAGGAAGATTAACACTGAGGAATGGTAGATATGTCTTGTGAAGAGCAGCTTAAAATACTTAGCTTTGAAATGGTAGAATGGGATCTAACTGAAGCACAGAAATACCCAACGAGGGCAGAGGGTCTGGGTACGACGTTTCTTCCTCTAGATGGTAAGGACACAACCCGAGGTGGTGAGCTGAAATTGGGATCAGGAGCAAGCCAAGTGTCTGACCTTGAGCAAGACAAGAGCAATGGACACAGTGCTTTTCTCTAACAGGTTCTATAGAGCTTGACACCATAAGAGCTTACTTATACAACCACAGCTCATAGGACTGTGTCTCACTGCAAGCCTGAGATTAAGGTAAAGTATGGCATTTTCTGGAGTGATGATAAACCTATTCCTGCTAGTAAGAAAAGCGTTCACAAACAATGACTTGGAGTATTAAGACTGAGCAGGATGAGACATTTAATAACACTGACCTGAATTAATTCTGTTCCTAACAAGATTACTGCAAGTTTTACCATTGATTTCAATCAGCATTGAGCCAGGAGATTGCAATTTTGAAAGTGTATTATTTTCTGATCCTCTATTTGTGAATTTTAAGGGCTAATAACTCTTGTCCAGATCTGCAAACAGACTGAGAAATCATGAGAGTGACGGACTGCTCCAACAGCATATTCCGTCAGCTAAACTCACTCTCAAAACTAGATACACCTCAACAGGTAGACAAAGAAGGGGTAAGCTGAACTTTTTTGAGTCAGAATTGCAATAGGAAAGCACATGCAGGATGAAAACATAGAAAAGGCAGATAAAAAAATAAGCAGGACAAAAAAAGAGGGTAAAAGAAGATTAAAAGAAAGAGAGGAAAGCAGAGGAAATTATGTAGAGGTTTCCTTTGTATTTTAACAGTGTCAAAGATTAAAAAAAAAAATGAGAGCCAGGGATAATCCGTAATGATTACCACTGTGGAGCTACCTTCTGTTCAGTGTGCCTTCATGTTATTTCCTTCTAAAATTAGCACATTTCCCTAACAGGTGAGGCTGATGATGACAAGTGAAGACCTTATAAATGATGCAATGACCAGAAATAGTGATAGTGTCCTGTGTAAACTTCTTATCAAGGAAGTTCCGCAGTAGCCAGATTGAGTGCTAGTTGATGGACATCATTAACCAGAATGGCGAGGCCAGACTCTTTTCAGTGGTTGAGTGGAGGCAGGACAAGGGGAAATGGACATCAGCTGCAGCACAGGAAGTTCCACACCAATGTGTGCAAGAACTTCTTTACGGTGAGGAGACGGAGCACTGGAACAGGCTGCCCAGGGGGGCTGTGGAGTCTCCTCTGGAGATTTTCAAGTCTCGCCTGCACACCTACCTGTGCGACGTGGTGTAGGAAACCTGCTTTGGCAGGGGGTTGGACTCGATGATCTCTGGAGGTCCCTTCCAACCCTTATGATTCTGTGATTCTGTGATTCTGTGAACCACAGGACATGCCCCTAAGATATGTGAGAATGAGCAGTCTAGACCTGGTGATGAACAAATCCGAGCTGGAACTCTTGGCAACGCAGACCTTGAATTTCAGGTAAATGTCGAAGCAACAGTTTGATCCTAATTGTTAACTGCAAATGTTGAATCAGTATGTGGTCAAATAAATGCTGCTGTAATGTAAGAACAGAGGGAGAGGGTGAAAAAGAGCAGGAAAATTAACGGAGCAGTGGTAATTGTGAAGGGCTGTCAAGACCAGCTGTGGAAGCAGCAGGGAGCAAAGCACAAACCACCGCCATCATCCAAACAAGAAACAGCTCCTGCACAGCAGATGTTTGGAGATGAGAGCAATGGTTTCCCCATAATCCTTGTGCCCTTGAGAGGAGGAATTGAAGACTGTGGTGTTAAATGATCATGCTGCTCTCTTTGAAAATGGAAAGTGATCCCCCCAGACTAGTAACAGGGATGTCAGAGGGGTATAGCAGAGTCAGATGGTTAATCACCTTGAGATCCAGTCCCTCCTTTCCTGCAAAATAGGGAAAATGTGACTCATAGTGTCCACAGGGCAGACGGAAAATAAAACAAAACCAGTGGTATGCACAAACAACCTGCAGGTTAGGGTGATTGAAAACAGTCACTGAAATGAATCAGACCTAGATTTGGTCACTGAAGACAATTACATTAGATGGCAGCAAGTGAAAGCAAAGTCTTATTTCAGTGGTTTATTAAAAGCCACATCTGCATTCAGTGAAAATAGATTGGAATCTGACTAGTCAAGCTTAGAGAATTTCTTATTTCTCCAGTAAAATCAGGGAAAAAATACTCATATTTATTCTCACCATGTTAGCAGAGAGCAATATGAAATAATATGAATAACATGGAATAATACAGACCCCATGATCCCATATCCACTTGGTTACATCAATTGGCCCATACTGTGCTGTGTGAAAGACAAGCCTGGCTTTACATGTTGGATGGAAGCACTAGTTATAGAGTGGTGGAGGAGTATATTTTGACTAGCACAAAGAGCAAAATTGGAAACATAGGTGGGAAGCTTCTGGATTATAACTGCTATTATACAGGCAAAAAAAAAAAAAAGTTTTGTTTCATATAGCACATATCACTTCTTGGATAAATTTTACATCAGATATTCACATGCGACTTTTCAAAAATTTGATTAAAAATTACTTCCCAAGAAAGATGAAAGAAGTTAAACATTCCTTTTCTATAGCTGGAAGATACATATCCAAGGAGTAACACAAAATAAGTGCTTTGTTACAAGTGTTCAAAATTAAAGTATCACTTGCAATCATTAGGGGAAGCACAACACCCATCACAGAGTGAGTTGACAGTGATGCAGTGAATTCATCAAGAGAAAAGACTGATCAAGTCCCAAGCTCAGACTGCAACATGAAATCATAAATACTGTAAGATGGCAACAAACTATGATATTGGAGGCTAGAGCTCAGTGCAAGGATACCTGACACAGCATGGGTGCCAAGAGAAAACTCACCACAGTGTGAGAGATCTGACTGAGCTAATTACTACGCATCTCATGTTTCCAAGGCTAATATATTTAGAACCAGGTCAAGTGTTCCTACACAGTGCTATATTCTCCAATGTAAACATACCCCCAGAGCTCAACTGTACTGAAGACATGGGTGGAACATGACAAGCAACACTGTTAAAGTCAGTGTTTGTAGTGTATTACAGCCTCATTAGTAGGCAATACTCTTCCTGTGTGTACAAGCAGCAGGACTCAACCTACAGAATCACAGACATTGGATAAGACTTCCAGTATCCCCAAGATCAACCCTAACCCACCCCCGCCATGCCCAGTGACCATGTCCCCAGCTGCCACTTCTACAAGTTTCTTGAACAACTCCAC